TCAATTGTTCAAGTTGCTGCCAAAGCAAAACATCTGTGTACAACCACTGTCCACTATTGACTTGTAATGTAGATATTAAAAAAAAATAAGTTAATTGATCTCAAAATGTATAAACAGGGTAACTTGGGTATTTTAAGTAAGAACAAATTATTTTGCATGAGTACAACAAACTCAAAACTAGATATTTCTGCTTACTTAAAATTGTAACTGATTACCTCAAATTTTTTGAGTTTTGCCAACTTATTCGGGATTACAGTGTGGGTTGTTGTGTCCCCTGGCTTTCATGTATGTCACTGTGACCACCTGGGCCAGGGTGTGAATCACTGTGAAACCATCTGGGTAGAGTTGAAGGAACAGCATTGTAAGTGGGTGATAAATTATGCCTAAGGCCGCCTCCTCTGTTTAACGAGGGTCTTTTTCTTGCAGTAAACTGCTTCTCTCACACCTCGTTTGAACCAGCCTCCCGGTTTAGAATCTTAACGTCCTGGTCTTCAAAGGAGTGGCCCTTGTCTTTCAGATGCAGGTGAACTGCTGAGTCTTGTCCTGATTGGCTGGCTCTTCTGTGCCGTGCCATGTGTTTATGGAGCTGCTGTTTGGTTTCTCCTATGTACAGATCTGTACATTCCTCACTGCACTGAACTGCATATACCACACTGCTCTGTTTGTGTCTGGGTGTTTTGTCTTTGGGGTGGACCAGTTTCTGTCTCAGTGTGTTGCCTGGTGTGAAATGTGTAGCACTGCTACAACTGACAGGGAAGAGAACAAACGTAAGAGCGTTATCATCCCTTATGCTGCAGGGGTGGCTGAAAAGCTCAGGAGGATTTTCACGGCATCCCTGTACATTTCAAACACATTGTACTCAGACACTCACACTGTTAGAGGACGGCTGTTTCTTTTTGCATGTTGTTCTTGTTTCTTATTTATTACTTTAACTTTTGCTGCTAAACAGAGAGCTGCTGAACTATTTTTTCACTGTTTTTGTAATAGTGACAATAAAGGTCTATCTGTCTGTCTGAACTTAATTTTTGATGTAAGAAATACTGGTGTATTTATATAATAAAATAATACCGTGCTGTCCGTCCGTCTGTCTGATGATAAACTGATAAACTGAGTTTATCATTTGCTCAATTTAGTTGTCTGTCCAGTATAGTTGTTTATGTATGACAATTACACATGGTGTTGGCATAACTGTGTACTTAATTTAGCAGCCATAACTGTGTAGTTAATTGAACATACATTATTGTGTAGTTAATTTTACACACAAAAATGTTGTTGGCTGCATTAGTTGATATTAGTTGTGCCAATTTGATTTTATTTGTCGATCCAGACATACCGCATTTCTTTCTAATTTAGATCAAGTTTTTAAATGAATGGAGGAAATATTTTTACAGTGCATCAACAATTGAATCATGGACAGAAAATAAACACTTTTGTATTGTTTAAGGTCTATTTGTAAAAATGTTGATATTGAGCTTCCTGTCAGAGACCATCATAAATTCTCAGGATATTTACTCAGTTTGCTGCCTGAGGATGGTGAGTGAAATGCTGTTAGTTATCTCTGCTAATTAAGCTGAAATCTTTTTTAAATCAAGGTACTCCCTATGAAAGCCATTGAATACAAAGGGCTACATATCAAACTGTCTGTCCTGCCTGTTATGTCTCTCTGTGTGGCGGAGCAGGATGTCACTGGTTCTCTTCTGCTGTTATGAGAAGATTGATGTTATGAAGCCGCCCTAATGAATAAAGCTTAAAAAGGCATCTTACGTCTTTACACATTAAAATACACCACTAGGTTATTCTGTGTCAGCAGCAAGAGCACTTTTAATGGGACCATTACAGACTTTCTGTTACACTTGTGTAGATGATTTGAGGTCTTTATATTTCTGCCTTATTCACAGAGACCAAATGGAAGGATGCAGTTCAGATCTACAGGAGAAACTGGGTTTATCTCGCATATTGAAGGTTTGTATTCATTGCTAATATATATTTTCTGAAGATTTGTTTGAATTGGCTTATATTTTATACAGCTGTAGAGTAAGAAACTAATCATGTTAACCCTATGATTCACAAATGAAACTATGAAATGATTTGCTGCAAGTAGCAATAATTAGCTGTGATGGTGTATTTTAGTCACTAGAGGAAAATGCTGTGAGGTTCCTGAAGGATGAGCTGAAGAAGATCACGAGGTACCTAGACCAGAATTACCCAGAATGCTCTGAGTCTCAGCTGGAGAAGGACAATGACCTGGATAGTGATGGTCAGATGCAGAAGACCTGTGGTAGAGAAGGAGCTCTGAAGATCACATTGTACATCCTGAGGACCATGGAGCGAAATGATCTCGCTGACCTACTGGAGAAGAGTAAGAGCTAAATCTCATTCTGTGTGTGTTTGTTTGGCCTCAGAAAAATAGTATATGGAAAAAAACATGTATTACATTTCAGTTTATCATTTAATTTGATTTAGTTTTGCTTAAATAAGTAAAAACTGTGTTTTTTTAAATGTCTGTGCATTTACCTCTCATTTCATTTCAGGGCATCTTCTGTTACAATGTCACCGCAGAATCAAATCTAACCTGAAGAAGAAATTTGAGTGTGTATTTGAAGAGAAAGCTAAGGATGGACAGCCAACACTTCTCAGTGAGATTTACACAGAACTCTACATAACTGAAGGTGGAACTGGAGGAGTCAATGATGAACATGAAGTGAGACAGATTGAAACAGCATCCAAGAAAAGGCTAACAGAAGATACTACAGTCAAGTGCAATGATATATTTAAACCCTTATGTGGGCGTGAGACGCCTATCAGAACTGTACTCACTAAAGGGGTGGCAGGTATCGGGAAAACAGTCTCTGTGCAGAAATTTATTCTTGACTGGGTGGATGGAAAAGCAAACCAGGATGTTCACTTCATATTTGCTCTTCCTTTCCGGGACCTGAATTTGATTAAGGATGAATACAGTCTGATTGAACTGCTTCACCACTTTATCCCTGATCTTAAATCAGTTGAATCCACTGAGCTGTTTAGATACAAAGTCTTGTTCATCTTTGATGGTCTGGATGAGTGTCGCCTAGATTTTCATAACAATGAGAGCTGGTTTGATGTAACAAAGAAAACGTCACTGGATGTGCTGTTGACTAACCTCATTAAGGGGAATCTGCTTCCATCTGCTCTCCTCTGGATAACCTCCCGGCCACCAGCAGCCAATCAGATACCTCCTAAGTGCATCGACCAGGTGACAGAGATACGAGGGTTCAGTGATGCCCAGAAGGAGGAGTATTTCAGGAGGAGATTCAGTGACCAGAGCCTGGCCAGCAGGATTATGACACATGTGAAATCATCAAGGAGCCTCTTCATCATGTGCCACATACCTGTGTTCTGCTGGATTTCAGCCACTGTTCTTGAGAGGCTTTTTAGTGAGACTGACAGGGGAGAAATTCCAAGGACTCTGACTGAAATGTACACACACTTCCTGATCTTTCAGACCAGTTTAAAAAATGACAAGTATATGAAAAACAGTGAAACCAAGCTTAAGGAACACAGCAAGAAATTCCTTTTAAAACTGGGTAAACTGGCTTTTTACAACCTTGAGAAAGGCAACCTCATATTTTATGAGCAAGATCTGACAGAGAATGACATTAATGTCAGTGAAGCTTCAGTTTACTCTGGAGTGTGTACAGAAGTCTTTAAAGAGGAACATGGGTTGTATCAGGAGAAGGTGTACTGCTTTGTGCATCTGAGCATCCAGGAGTATCTCGCTGCTTTATATGTCTTTCTGTCAAACTCATCAGCTGACCTGCTGAAGACTGCAGTGGATCAGGTATTAAAGAGCAAGAATGGACACTTGGACCTCTACCTCCGCTTCCTCCTGGGCCTCTCAACAGACTCCAGTAAGACTCTGTTACAAAGGCTACTGGGAGAGACAAGAACCAGCTCACATGACATTAAAGAAACAGCCCAATACATCAAGGAGAAAATACAGGACAATTTATCTCCAGAAAGGACCATCAACCTGTTCCACTGTCTGAATGAGCTGGGTGACAATTCTCTAGTAGAGGAAGTACAAAGATACCTGAATTCAGGAAGTCTTTCAGCAGAAGACCTCTCACCTGCACAGTGGTCAGCTCTGGCCTTTGTGTTACTGATGTCAGATGAGAAGCTGGATGTGTTTGATCTGAAGAAATTCATCAGATCATATAAGGAGCATTGGAGGCTGCTGCCTGTGGTCAAGACATCTAGGACAGCTCTGTAAGTGATGATGTGGAAACATGTCATGTCCGGCAGTAACAGATTAACATTGTTTAAAATATGTAAAATATGCAATTTATTTCTCCTTGTGGATTAATAACTGGGCTGGATTGTTTTTTGATATGTTACATCAAGGGGCAGCGTGTGGCTCAGTGGGCTAAGCCATGCCTGTAATCACAAGGTCGCCGGTTCAAGCCCAGCCTCAGCACGTCTGCGGGTCCTTGAGCAAGACCCTCAACCCCCAGCTCCCTGGGCGCCGCTACGGGTGGCTGCCCTTCGCGGACAGCATGCTCTACAAAGAGCAAGATGAGGGAGGCATAAAAACAATTTCCCCACGGGGATCAATAAAGTATCAATTATTATTATTATTATTACATCCCGGTCTAGGGGGAGGTGGAAGATACAGAGGTCAGGAAATCATGAACACCCAGGGCGACGATATTAACGGATCTGGAAGCCAGATTTTATAATGACTGAGGGTAGTGATGTAGTAAAAACAAAAAAATTCCATCCAGTTCCTCAAGGGCCCACAGACATGTGACTGTTCTGCTGAGTGTCTGACCAGCGATCCTCCAACCACAGGCACAGAGGCTTAGCCTGCTGAGCCACACACCAGCCCCACAGACATGGTATGTGAGTGTTACTGTCAGCAGGTGTGTCCATGTGATGGAGCCCAGAGCTGGGAGCTTCCAGAAGACTGCTGTCTCTGACTGCTCACTGGCACCCTCTGCTGGCCACAGCTGCTCCTGGCTGAGGATGTGACGACACAGCTAGTCAGGCATTATCAGATTAATATTGTTTTAAATATACAATGAAAATGTATAAATATATCATTTACTTCTGGAAGAAGTATTTCTGTAAATACTGGGTGTGGTACGTGATTCTTTGGGTTCGGACTCTGTGCCCGTGAGTGGAGGTCGCTGGTTCAGATCTCCTGGCCAGCAGTGATGTCATCGCTGGGCCTTGACCAAGGCCCTTAATGCCAGTGGCTGCAGGGGCGCTGGATGCTGGCCGACCCTGTGCTGTGACCCCAAACTTCCTCTCATCTGTATGTGTCTGTGTGTCTCAAGGAGAGAAGGATGGGATTAGCAAAAAGACAGATCCCCCACAGGGATGGATGAAGTATCACTATTTATAATTTTTTTAAAACAAATACGTCTTTTAGTGTGCAGGTGATTTCACAAGTTCCCCGATATAACAATAGAGAAAAAAGGATTTCATTCATGGGATCAGGAATTCAAGTGTCATAAAAAATATCATGCTCCACTGAACATCGTTCAAATCCCACATAAACACACAGACACACACACACACACACACACACACACATCCCAGGCAGGAATCGAACCCGAAACCCTAGATCAGGGGTGCCCAAATCCAGTCCTGGGGGGGCAGAGCGCAGTGTAGCTTAGTTCTTTCCCTGTTCCACCATAAATGATTCAGCTCAAGAGCTGTGTGGTAATTAGCACAAGGAGTTGAATCAAGTGTGTTAAATGAGGGGAAAACCAAAAATGTGCAGGGCTCTGGCCCTCCAGGACTGGAGTTGGGCACCCCTGGTCTAGATGGTCGGCTGTAGTGCTGATCACTGAGCCACAGCACTGCCCAGAGCTTTATGAAAATACTTATGCAGATATTAAAGAGCCTCAGGGTAACTGGCCCTTTAAGATGATTAAAAAGCAATTTGGAGTTGGCTACAGTGTTTCAGAAATAATGATCTGCCTTCTACATTGAAACAACAAAATTGCTGTTATTTTTTAAATAATCTGTCATTGAAGAAATTGTAGAGCATATTCACTCTCATGACCTCATCTAACAGCTATATTTAATAACACGTACAGAACATTTTTAGTGAATATGGTCTATTTGATATGTAACTTTAATAGCCATAAACCACATTATATTCTGATAACTCAGATGCATATCAGATGTCTTGATGGCTGTATCTGGGTTATCAGAATATGCTACCTATGGTTTATACATACACGCACACACACACACACACACACGCACATGTACGGTATACATATCCTTATGGGGACCGCTCATTCATTTCAATGGGAAAAATGCTAACGCTAACTATGACAACCTTAACCCCTACCCTGCCCTAACCATAACCATAAGTAACCAAACAAAATACAAGAGTTTTTGCATTTTTAGTTTTTTCACAGCAGTCACCGATTTTTATAAAATAGAATTTTCCCTTATGGAGACCAGGAAATCGGTCCCCATAAGGGAAAAAAACGGATATTTATCACGTTATGGGGACATTATGAGGTATTGATTAGTTATGGATGTGTTACTGGTCAATTCAAAAAATCCATGGATGTATTGGATGGCTGCTGCAAATACTGTGGTGACTATAGGAGAGGTTCTGAAATGACTAAGCTGGCAAGCTTTGATAGACATAATATACTTCTACATCAACATGATCATTTGACCATCATTTTCCTTGACGGCACAAGACTTGCACAGTACTGTGTGTATAATCTTGGTTACAAAGCTTATGTATATGGCATCTAGGGGAAAATGTTCTTGATAGTATAAGATATTTAATTACAAAACAAAGTTTGAAATATGCAATTACCTGTACTTTTTTCCAAGAAGTGGCATAGATATGCATCAATAACCTGTTTGAATGTTCACATCAAACACCAGAATAGGGATTTTCATGCACAGCAGTCTCTAGTGTTCACTCAGAACGGCTGTGGAAAACAAAATATCAAGTGACTGACAGTTCTGCAGACAAAAAAAGACCTGTCTGGTGAGCGGGCAGAGAAAAATTGATTGATGCTGGGGAAAAAACAATTTGCCTGGTCTAACAAATCTCAATTTCAGTTGAGACACACTAGGATCAGCATCAATTCATGGTTTTCCCCACACTTAGTGTCTCTTAATGCCAATCACTACTCGAGTGCCGGAGCCTATTTGAATATTAACCATGAGCATCCCTTCATAGCATCATACTGTCACACTGAAATTGACTGCTTGTGATATATACAACACACTTACTTCATCAGCCAGCCACTCAGTGCCTTGCAGGGTTCGAAATGAGGTATGAAGTAGCTTAAATGGACCAACATCTGCTTCAACTCGCCCATCATCCACTGCAGCCCAAAGCTTCTTTACTGTAAAAAAGTAAAGTTAGTTTTTAAACAATTTGTTCCTGATGTGACAGAATTTACCAAGCTGTTTGCTATCCAACAAGCCTACATTGAACAGACAGTATGAAATTAACGGAATGTCAGTGATGCCACTATAGTGACGAAAGCAGGGTTTGTCCTGGCTCAGGATAACTAAACATGACAGTGAGCATGGCTGGTCCACATACGTCTGTGTCACCTAATTGGACAGGTAGAAGATTATGTTCTGCTTGTTCAACAGTTGTTTGATAAATATCTAATAAATTCTGGAAGATCTGAATTGTCAAAGTATTATTCTTCTCAGTTATAAATTTGGCACTAGTGATTTTCCTTTGGCTGATGAAGTTAAAACTTTGGAGGGGGGTGATGGGGGCAGCAGTAGGAAAAACCCCTGAAAAAGGCATCAATGAATAGGTAGGCCAGGTCAAACATGCAAAAAAGAGCAACTAACTGGTCAACCAAAAAGCATCAACCAGAAAATACAGGAAGGTATCAATGAACAAACAGGGCAGGTCAAACCAGCAAACAATGGGCAAATGGCCAAGAACACTGGTAGCTTAACAGGAAAAGTGGAGTTTGTGCTACAGCAACCGCCAACTTCTGAGGGAACAATGCTATTTAGTTTAATTCATTTAGCTGATTAGCTCCATTGTTTGCCATCTATTCTGTCATATAGAGTAAGTATAGAGTAAGTAAGTTCAGTGATTAACAGCAAACAAAATCAGGGTATAAAATTCTACTATACTATATCAAAGGCCCATTGTATTACTAAGTACAAGGCATTTTATTACCAAATATAATTTGACAGGTCACAAATAGTTACGTTCACTTCTGCCAAACCAGCATAATAGTCCCAATAATCTGTGTTTAATTAACTTAATGTACTGTATGCCCCCACAATAATAATAATAATAATAATATTGACATTTATAAATTTTTCCATCATAGTTGCAAATAATATGTTCAAAAATGAAATGTGTCACGCCCGGCTCGTACAGTACGATCCTCGTGTGTGCCACGCCCACCTCGTTACCTAGTGTTTATTCCCTATTATAATCACCTGTGGCTTGTTAAGTTCAACCTGTCTTGTTTATTTAGTCCGTGTGTCAGTCAGTATTCCCCAGATCTGTCATTGCATTTTTAGTGGATGTTCGTGCCGTCTGCCCTTTCATCACCAATAAACCCCGCTTCCCCGCTCACCTGCTCCGCAACATGACATAATGTTATGAAGCAATTTATAAGCATGTATTAAAATGCAAAATTAACTAATTTCGAGAAATTATAGAAATAACTCACTGGCAATTCAGGCGGGACTTCCGAAAGGAACACAGCTTCCCTTCCATACATCAGGCGGCATGGTGAGAGCTTTGTGGTGGAGTGGATCTTGGACCTCAGTAAAAATAGGGTAGCCTTCAGATAGATGTCCCAGTCATTCTGCTGCTCATTTACAATTTTCTTGAGAGCTGTAAAATATATATATATATATATACANAGCTGGCAAGCTTTGACAGACATAATATACTTCTACATCAACATGATCATTTGAACATCATTGTCCTTGACGGCCCAAGACTTTTGCACAGTACTGTGTGTATATTATACAAGTCTGTGTGGATTTTAGGAGAGTAAAACAAACTGCAGCGGAAACATTTACACTGTTGTTCACTGAAAAATGAATGAGTGCTTTAAAGGGCCGTGCATTGTGTTAGAACTGACCCATGTTGATAATGACCTCACTGGCTCTTGAGAAACAATATTTAACTAAATTAAATACTAAGTTAATACAAGTCTGCTCTAATCTGTATTTTTCCTTAATATGCAATGAAATGTGAGAAATGTCTGCATACTCAGACATTGAAA